GCTTGGAAGTGGACGGGTGGGGGAAGGGAAGGAGCTGGTTCCTGAGGTTGAGGACGGGGAGAGAGGTGGGCGGGCAGCCAGGGACGGTTGTCCAGTCCCGCCCCAGGGGGATGCCCAGAGGTGCCGGCTCTGCCTTCAGGTCTGAGGTGGCATCCTAGGTTGTCAGTGTGAGTAGATGGTTCCAGAAATCCCGGACCTGTGCCCTCTCATCGAGAGGCGTGGCTGGCTGGGCGGGAGTGACAGCCGAGGGGCCGGTGAGATGCAGCCAGGGAAGCGACTGTGGCATTTAGCGGCACGGAGGGTGCTGGTGGCCTTGACGGAGGGCAGTCGGGGCGTGCGGGACGAGTGGAGGCGGAGGGCAGGATGTAGGGCACCCCCGTAGAGGCTCTGGAGGTCCTTGGGGGAGAGAGCAGAGGGGCTGCACCCCTAACCTGCCACAGCAGCCCGGGATGGACTGCGTCACCCAGGTCCTGGCACCGGGGGACACCGGAAAGGCCTGTGGATGGTCCCACATGCCCTTCTGCCCCAGCCAGCCTGCCGTGACCTGGGCCTGGTTTCCAGGGAGATGGGCCTGGCCGGAGGCCGTTCACTCCCCCGCGAGGCCTTTGGGGAGTGTACGTGTGTCCTCCTGGGTTAACGTTGCAAAAGCCAAGCTCAGGTCCACCTCTGGTGACTGGGCTTCTGGGGATGTCCAGATTCCCAGCGGGGGTCCCGCACCCTGGATCAGGAATGTCGGGGCTCTGGGAGCGAGGGCCCCGGGGGTCGAGGTGTCCCTGGGCTCGTCTGTGAGCTGGAGTGAGTCCTCAGGCTTCCAAGGAAAAAGGCTCACATCATGCCTCCTCCTCTGGGACCTTCTACTCTGTCTGCTCTGTGCACCCCCTCCCGGTCACCCCGTGACCTCAGGCCTGCCCCATGGTGGGAGACGTGACAAGGAGGACATACCAGCCGGGGCCTTGTGCCCCCTGCGGGCTGTGAAAACAGCCTTTATGCCTTTCTGACCAACTTCCTCCCAGTGCCCAAGGGCCATTATTCGGGGTGTTGGGAGGCAGCGCCCCTCTTCCCAAAGCCATACCCCACTGGCTGCCCCACCTCCCCGGATGAAGCAGTACTGTCTGGGGGCATCCCTGGCACAAACGCCCAGGCACCCGGTCAGCTCGCCCTTGTGCAGAGTCAGCCATTCCCCGACGCCTGCCGGACAGGCGGATGACCGAGGCCAAGTGAGGCCGGGGTGGGGGGCATCTTCGGTGCCGGCCCAGGCCCGGAACTGCTGACCGCTTCCTGCGGGCCTGTGACCTGGCTTGGGGCAGCCATCAGTCATCTGAAAGGCCTGTTTGGTTCTGGTATAAAAACCCACCACCATGGGGCCTGGCGCCTGCTCGTCCACGATGCGGCGGTTTCACCTGCCGAGGCCCGCGTGACAAACACGCAGCCCTCGCTCGGCACGGGCCCGGTTCCAGACTTTCCGTGCTGTCCAGAGGCAGCCGGTGGCGGGCTGCAGGCCAGTGGTGTCTGTCCTAAGACACGTCCTTGCTCAGACCTGGGTGTGGAGGAAGCTGCCCAGAACGGCGCCCCTGGCGGATTCCCGCCTGCAGCCCCTTAGACCTGGGCGGGGCTCAGGAATGTGCTGGGCGGAAGGTTTGGTGGCGTCTTTGTCCCTTTGTCTCTCTGGGCAACTTCGTAGAGCCAGGCCACACCTTCATCTTATAGTCCTTGCACCAGAGGCCAGGCAAGATGGGCGTCACTGCTTGGCCTGGAGCCAGAACAGGTGTGGGCACGATCACCAGGTGGGACCTGGGCTGGGAGCCGACCTCTCAGAGTCGCCTTCGATTCGAAGGCGCCCCGTGACCTCGGTCAAGGGGCTTTTCTTCCTGAGCCTCAGGGTCCCCGAGAGGCCTGCCCTTCGGCCTTACTGTCGTCACCCTTCTCTACTCGGTGCTTGTCCCCTGCGCAAGAAGCATCAGTTCACGAAAACACTCGCTCTGGCCGTGAGCATGGAGGAGGGTGCGAGACACGGCCTCACATCCCTATCCTGCTGGCCTGAGCCGGCTTCAAGCATAAGATGGTGTGCAGCTGGTCCTCGACGCTGTCCCTTGTGCCCCGTGCGGGGCCCACCGCAGCCCTCTTCCTGAGCCCTCCCCGCCCCATGTGGCAGGGATCTGCCCCCTTGCTGCCCTGGCCGGGGATCCTGAGATGCTGCACCAACCCACCCCGCCCCACCTCCAGAAGCAGCGCCCAGACCCAGGGCCAAATCCAGCCCCTGTTTCGTAAATATGGTTTTACTGGCACACAGCCTACCGGCTAGCTTGCGGTGGCCAAGTCTGCTTCCGTGCCATGATGGCGGGGCTGTGGCAGAGACCCACCCCGAGGCTGGAAAAGCCAAACTATTCACCCTCCGGCCCTTTACACAAAGCAGATGCCGCCCCTGCCCAGAGTGACGATGCGGCTCAGGCAGGTCTTGCCGCGTGCCGGGGCTGCTGGGGAGAACCGGCGGCCTGCGGACTGGAGGTTAGGCACAGCCCGCAGCCCGCCCGGGGCCAGCGTTCCAGAGACCCTCTCTATGGCCGGCTGCAGGTCAGCCCTCAGGAGGAGAGTGTGAGGGGGCCTCTCCTTGGCTTCATTGTCCGCTGTCACTGGAAGTGGTCGTGGGAGCCTTTGGCAAGGCGCACACCTG